CCAGTGCAGCTCGCGGAGGATAGGTGTAACGTGGGTGAACCGAGGTGCACCCACGATCGCTCGCGCGGCTGCATTCTGGACAAGCTGAAGTCGCCGAATGCTCTTCAAGGGCTGCCCCATGTAGAGCACAAGTCCAAAACATCCTGAAGATATTCATTCTGCTGGACAGCAGGGCTTCAGGGTGTGCAAAAGGGATATTGGGGCTCCAGATAACCCATGGATTATAGCTTATTAACCCAAAGCCACACTGGCTATTGCGATAGAGACCACATAGCCCTGTCTGCCATGATGAAGGTCACTTTTGGCCATTCTGACTAGTACTGCTTTAAATTGAAAGCCAACAACATTTGGAACTCATTTGGGCAGCGTCCTTATCCCCAAATTCCCAAACTTAAAATAGTTTTAAATCTAGTAACTATAGCAAGTTATTTCGGTTCCACCACAAATGCGCGTATGACAAAAGCGTGTGTGTCTAAAGCGTGGTGACAAAACCGTGCCGTCAAAACCGTGGAGACGAATGAGTGCTGAAGCGCGCCGACAACAGCGCGCTGACAGAAGTGCGCTGTAACATAACCCTAAAACTAACCCTAAACCTAAGTCTAAACCTAACCCTAAACCTAACCCTAAACCTAACCCTAAACCTAACCCTAAACCTTACCTTAACTTAAATCACACTTCTGTTGGCGCGCTGTTGTCGGCGTGCTGTTGTTGGCGCGCTGTTGTCGGCGCGCTTTTGACGTTCGCGGTTATGTCGTGCCACGAGTTATTTCATATGTTGCTTGATTTTCCATGCTTTTTCCATTTTGTGTGTGCGCGTGTGTGTGTTTCTTGCCACATCTCACACAAAATGCTTTCTGTTGATTAATAATGGCTATAATTAAGAATCACAGTGAAAACATTTCCTGTCTGTAAATTTGTACAGATAACATTGCTCATGCCTTCATTTTTCAGGTTGATTAATGCAAGCTCCTTTTTCCCCACTTACCCTGCTTGTTTGAAAGTTGCTGTAACCAGTTGATGACAATATCCACTGAAGTAAAAAGCTTTTGGAATAAGATGAATCTCCTCTGAATTAATTTACTGGGAAGGTTATGCTATCGCCATAGCCAAAATTCCACATTGAGATCCACAACTGGAATCCAAACTGAAAATTTTTGGATGACCAGTACATCAGAGGCCCCCCAATCCCTAGTCCAGTGTTTCTCAACCTTGGCAACTTGAATGCTGGCTGGGGAATTCTGGGAGTTGAAGTCCAGACATCTTCAAGTTGCCAAAGTTGAGAAACACTGCCCTAGTCACTGGTCCACAGCATGCCAGAAACCAGTTTGCCCAAATAAGCAACGCCCCATCTGTGGCATGCAGGCACCATGCGAAACCACACCCCCTCTGGTCCGCAGAAAAACTTTGCTCCATGGAACTGATCCCTGGTGTCCAAATGGTTGAGGGCTGCTGCACTAGATGATATCAAAAGGAGTTGTACTCTCAGCTCATAGTAGGGCTTCCAAATATGGACTGCAAAAATTGAGACGATCACTAGATGGCATCAAAAGGAAAGAATTCTATACTGTTTTTGCTGCCATCTAGTGCTGAATAGAATATTTGTGGCTCGAGTACCAGCAGTCCTAGAAACAAAACAATTGCTCACATAAAATTTCGTCAGATTCAAACTCCACCCTGGAAAGCCAATCTGGTTCTCTACAGAGGCTTTGCTTTTCAATTGTCATGAACCTCCTTGTCAGACCTGGAAGCCATCTTTTTCATTGGGCCTTTAGGCCTGCCACATTTTCTGCTCTGGGAAAATGGGAGGGGGGCATGGGTGATATATAGTCAAAATAACATTCTTTCTCAGGAAGTAAAGGCCATTTTGCCGTGCAACTGCAGTGGTGTGATTGGGAGACATCTCCAGTTTTGGACAGTGCCTGATTGGATCATGATGGACATTTGGGTGCTGGAGAGGGACTTGAATTTTCATTTGGGTGGGGAAAACCCAGAACTCTCAAATTTGGATTTTCTCAGATGTGCCAATATGACACCTCTAATAAAATGGAGCTTTGAAAAAACTCAAGCCTCGGAGTCTTCTTTTCTTGGGGGGGTGTTACTTGGAATCTTGACACTCCTTCAATATTGGGAATGGTAAGAATTGTGGCAGTCATAATGAAAATGTCTTCAGGGACCACTTGTTTACATCTGACTTCATTTCCAAAGAGCCAAGGAAAAATCTAAGCAGAGAAGCTTTGGATAATAGCAATAGCAATAGCAGTTAGACTTATATACCGCTTCATAGGGCTTTCAGCCCTCTCTAAGCGGTTTACAGAGTCAGCATA